CACAGACACCTCAGCGGTTGGGGTCGCGGAAGAACGGCGGATAAACCACGGCATCCGGACCCCTTTACTAGCCGCCTACCTCCAGTCGTCTCCAGAGCCTAGGGTGGAACAGTTGACGACACTTAGATCAACCTGCTCTGTCACGTGAGGAAGTTCACTCCAATCGAGCGCATAGGAAGCAGACGTTCCGATACGCAACACTGAATAATTTGCCCGGTTTATGGGCAGCAACCGCAAGACAGACCATTCCCAGAGTCTATCCATAGCCCGTTGAAGAGCCACAGGACCTCCAGGGGTAGCAACAACATTCCAAATCTTTAGGCCATCAGCAAATAAAAGCGATTGTATCTCAAGCTCCTCCGTCAAGTCATTCACGTAGACTGAGAAAAGCAGCGGACCTAGGACAGAGTCTCCCGGAACGCAGCTAAGTACAGCTTGTCGAAACGAAAGAATGCTGCCCGCACGAATACACTGTTCCCGTCCATCCAGAAACGCTGAAACCCACTGGAGAGCGCGACCAGAAATTCCATACGACCTCAGCTTCAGTGAGAGTCGCGAATGGGGTGCAGTGTCAAAGGCCCTGACGAAGTCAATGAACATCACATTCACGGCATGTCCACTGTCTACGGCTTCCGCCCAGCACTAACGAGCTACCAGCAAGTTCGACTGACACGAAAATCCTTTGCGAAATCCATGTTGCTCAACGCTGAGCAAGTTAAACCTATTTACTTGGTTCTCCACTATATCTCGTACTAAATTTTCAACTAGATTAACGACCACGCTAGTCAAGCTGACAGGCCTGTAATTAGCCAATAGACCATTGTCATTGCACTTGAAAATCGGGCAGACAACAGCCACCTTCCATTCGGTAGGCAATATAAGCTGTTGAGTGACTGCTGAAACACATAAGTCAGAGGTCCACTGCGTTGCAGTGCCAACTCTTGCAACAATTTTGGATGAACAGAATCTGGCCAGGAAGCTTTAGTTGGGTTTGCCTCGCTTAGCAACCGGAGCACTTGGAACTTAGTTACAGGAATTTCATCCAGACAACAGTCTTCAGAGATTCTTGCAGCTAACTCTTTGCATGGCGCAGTTGTTCCGGGGACAAAAACGCTTGAGTACTGCTCGCCAAGCACGCATGCCTTGTCATAGTCGCTATAGGCATGGGTCCCATCTCCTCGAATCAGTGGTGGTATGGGCGAGTTTGCACTACAGAGTCGTCTAACGTAAGCGAAGAATCTCTTGGGATTTTTAGAGGCAGTATCATCTAAGCCCTTTTCACACTGAAGCCGGGCCAACCTGATGTAGCTTGCACTCATTTCGAACCAACCGATGCTTGTCAAACATGCTGTACGACGGAGCTGTTCGGTACGCTCGCCAGCATCTAGACTGCTTCTTTAGCAGGCCCTCCCCCGGGCATTCTATCCACGGAGACTGCGCTCTCGATTCCCTTCTTCTTAAAAGTGGGAGGTGAGGTGCATAAATGTCGACGAGGTGGGCCTTAAGGTTTTCCCAGGCTATGTGGAACAGTGTCGGTCTCAGTTATCGCACAAGGTGATGACCTAGCTTTATCCCGCATCGCTTGGAAGTCCGCGGCCCAAATGTTCGGATACCAACTGGTAGTAGCTTGGCAGGGCCTGATAAGGGTACACTAGAAAGACAAGCAAAATGGATCGCTAGCGCCGCGAGGCGAGTCGTATTTAATGCCCTTTACAACATCAAGTATCTTAGCAAATACATGATCTAGGATGGACGGCTGCTGCTTTCTCATGCACCTAGTGGGGAGGTCCACCAACTGGTGTAGAGGTACACGCAGCATTAAGTCCAGCAGTTCTGTACCGAACGATTCCAGCGCGGAACTGCAAGCCAGATCATCCCAACATACCTCTGGGAGGTTGCAGTCTCCCAGCACCAGACATTTGTTTGCAGAGTGAGTGCGTATAAACTCAAGGATTCCATTTGGGGTGCTCATAGGGCTTCTATACGCTAACACGAACGTATCCTGAACCGAGGAAGGGCAAAGCAAGACTGTGTGAGCCTCAACAGATTTGTCATGAGAGTGAAAATCGCTGGTACACAATGCGTTGATGTGATAACACATAACGAGCTACACCACCCCTTGACGGCCAGTGGAGCGGTCAGCACGGCACAGTGCGTGGCCAGGCAAGTATACTTCGCCATCTGTGATTTCATCAGACAGCCACGTTTCAGTGAAAGCAGGTATATCTGGACGAGGTACGTCTACGTGTAAACCCACCGCGCACAGCTTGTTCCTCAGGATACGCACGTTACTAAGTACTACTTGGAGAGCTTCGACAAGACCAGCCCTGGGTCGTGCGCAAGTAGTATAGGTTCTGGCAGGGCGGTAAAGGACCGCCGGCTGACCACCTGAAAACCCACCAATCGGAGACCTTGCTCGCCAGCTGCACGCCGGGCTTTTGGGTCTCTGATGGCTTCCTTTAATTTTAACCTATCCGCTAACGGAAGGTCTGGTTGCACACTAACGGTGGTACACTTGAGCTTGAAGGCAAATCTCAGTAAGGCCCTGCGCCCTTCTGGGGTGGAAGGGACCACCCTAAGAAGACGGGGTCGTGGATTTGGTTGGCCAACCGGAACGTTCCCCAATCTGATGAGCTTCCTGACAGTAACGCCAGGGAAGCCTGGTGGTAAAAGCCTGGTCATGCAAACTTTAAGCCAACCAAGACCATCAAGCATGCGCTCAGTAGGAGGAGCGGCAGTGGATTCAGTGACGTTGCTAGAAATCACACTGCTATCTGTGTAAAAATCGCATAGACGAGGTTTAGTTACTTCGCATGCTCTACCATCAACGCCACATGATTGTTTGGCAGGAAGCGGTGGGACCGAAGACCACGACACCTCTTGTCTCACGGAGGGAATTGCAACACCACTTGGTGTTTCCAACTCAGGCGCTTGTTTCTTGTGCAATTTAGCACCTTCGGCTTTGGGTGCGGATGGCTTGCACGCTTTCCTTGGCCTCTTACGCTTATTCTGTAATGGCCCAGGAGCCCGTGACTCGTTTTTCATTTGCGGTGGGTCAACAATGCCGCCCGAGGCATCTGTGTCAGTTATATCTACGTGAACTGGAGCATTCGGTAGGTTGAACGCCTCGTCAAAGGTTGGACTGCCAGCAGGACGGTCCGTTACAGCGTCCAAATTCGCAAAATTTAGGGATTTCATAATCAAGTCCACTTTAGAGTTGTGCGAGTCAAGAGTCAACAAAATAAATCGGATAATGCACACAGATACCGCGACATAACGTTTCACCAAATGACCGTATAAAATCACGGTTACGAACGAATCCGCGGTAAATAAAGGAGGTCAGAGGACATATATATAGGAAATGCCACAAACGTAAAAAGCATATGGAGGTTAAATACAACTGGCTTGCGCGACGTGTGAAAGTTTATAGAAGCTTGTTCAGGTTAAAATTAAGCTGCGAAAGAAAAGCGTTCTCACAATATTACAAACACACCACCTGAACTATAGAGAATTAGCAAAGAAGCACGCGGTTGGTAAATCGAATGCAGTGTTCCTACAAACACTGCGCCGGTTCTGTTTACATTTCCTTCAGGACCCGTCGTCGCTTCGGTGGTAGGGTCAAGTGGTCGCGTTCTTGGCTGATTAGGCCTGCCTGAGTCAGGCACTCGCCAACCCATGTACAACAGCACCATGCGCTCCACCTCGATGGAGTACAATCCATCGGTGCTTACCACTTCCGTAATTGCCGATTCCTCGCTGCATGTTAGAAGTCATTTTCTCGCACTCCGTCCTCTGCCTTCGTGCTCAGACCGCGCCATACAGGCCGATCAAACGTCTTCGATTCCAATGACTCGCACTCAAGATTAGAACGTGAGAGGCTCACTTTGATCGTGTCCTGGTAACGTAACTTCGGGTTCCCCACATGCCGCTTTCCAGTCCTCAGCTGACCATGTAATAGTTGTTTCGGTATCCGCGTCGAATCCATACGGCTCAAACGACCGAACCACCTTATGGTCAAAGCAAAAGTATGCAGCCCACCGCATGCATTCCATTTCGGCGCAACACTTCCGCGTCTTCAACTCTGTCGCACCAACCGATGCGCAGCTTCCGTCGCAATACCTGTTATTGGAACAGCACGAGATTTCGCACATCCCGCCAGTACAGCTTCCAAGTTTTACTGCCGTATAGTAGAATGGACAGTGCCGCAGGTTCGTACAACCTGATCTTTGTGCCAACGATTAGCTGAGGATTTTTCCACACTCGGTACTCTAGCTTCCCGAATGCCTCCGCTTCCTTCGACGCGCGGATACGCAGCTCCATGTGTATCCGCGGCTCATTCGACATCACACTCCCAAGGTGGCAGAGGGGGCGGTAGTTGCTAATACTTCAGCGCCATTGCTGATTCGCGGCAATATTGAAGATTGCATCTCCGGTGAAGGCTGAAAAATGCAGACCGTTTTCCTTGTGTTGAGAGTGAGCCGGAATTTGGCCGCCGTCAAAGCCAGGGCACTAGTCATGTGCTGCAACTCATCCGCGCTGTGTGAACACAACGCACAGTTGTCAGCAAACAACAATGTACGGATAGTCGGCTCAAAGACTGGGGTTCTGGCACCGAAACGACCGATGTTCAGCAACCCACTATCAGTACGGTGCTTCACACGAACACCGTAAGCAAAAGACGCATCAAAAGCACTGACATCATTGTATGAAGGTACATAATAAACAGGGCAGGAGCTAAGACACAGACTTGCTACATGCCAGAGATAACTACAAAGTCATCCGAGGTCTCTCCAAGCAGCTGCGGCCTCGATCGCATACCACCATGCAGACATTTCGTTAAACTTACAAAGTTACGCGGGCATCCAAACTTACCCAGCACCAGCCACAATGCCTCGCGGTTCACCGTATCGGATGTTTTGGTGAAGCCAACCAACTGCGGGTCCAACGGCTGTTGCCGTACTCTGCACTTCCCCTGCAGCTGACGAGCCGCAGCTACCATATCAACGGGTTCCACACTGCTCTTCCGCCACGTTATGTTCCACAACCTGACTGACGAGGCGATTGAGCAGGACTCGGGCATTTGCCTTGCCCCCACAACACAGCAAGTTGATGCCACGATAATGCGTGCACCATCGCCTGCTACCTTTGCCTTTGTACCGTGGTAGCACCAAAGCATCCTTCAGCTCAGGAGGCACCTGCTCCTCAATCCATATGCGTTGCATCATGTGGTGCAGCGTAAGCACGAACGCGGGTCCACCGCGTTGCAATACTTCAGGCGGGATCACCTCGGCCCTGGCACACGTGCCGTTTCGCAGCTGAGCCAGGGGTCTCTGCGTCTCATCTAGTGCCGGCGCGCCCGCCATACTCGTCTGCACATCGTGCTGCTTAAGTCCGTTCAGTGTAGGCTAGTCGACATCTGAACGGTTGTGCAAAAGACGGTCGAAGTATTTTCGCCAGATCTGAATTATGTCTGCCGTCTGTGTGCAGGTACCGCCTGAACTACCATGGCACTGCCTCCTTAGCGGCTCTAATCTCGGAATATACACCGCCTTCAAGGAGTCAAAGCATTCCCTGTGTTGGTGACCTTCAGTGTAGCATTCCAACTGTCACGTTTTTTCCGTCCACCACGCACTTCCAATGCAGCGGAGCTCTCGGGTCCGCCGCCGTCGAAGTTTGCTAAACGGAGTACTCTTCTCCAGGTCACTGCGGTCTGCCACATATGCAGCAAATGCTGCATTTTCCTCAAACACCAATTCGTCAATCGTCGCGTTCTTCTCATCAAACCAATCAGGCCGCTTACAGTTTGTGCTCCCGATGGTATTCTCGGCAGCAGTTGTCACCTGGGCGCGAATGTGATGCAACTGTTGCCCCACTGTGGCTATGCAGTCCGCATCACTCACTCGTGCAGCCATCGCCTTCTCCAGCTCAGTACGTTTCGCCGCTATACCGAGGGAGAGAATGATACATTACGCCGATTCACGGCAGGAGTGGAATATATAGATTTGCAACAATATGTGTATAGTATGGTCGGCACCAATTTGTGCTCAGTGCTACATTCAGCTCCACGCAGTACAGTGTCATTCGTACTTCACGCATATCAGGCTGACGTACGATGACATAGCCAAGCAGGTGTGAGTGACCACTTCGTGTGTGTGTCCAACTTGCTATATCACTCGCACCCTGTACAAACCGAGTGGCCGTGATCATCAGGCCGCGAGTGGCACACAGTGAGAACAGCAGGTCACCGTACGCATTCGCTGTACCAATGTTATGCACACCGATAACATCTGTCCTCACCGATGCGTTGCGCCCAACGCGCGTTGAAATTACCCGGCAGAAATGGTCAGTGGATTCTCAGCACAGACCGTAGAACCGAGGAAAGCTGACTGTAGAATTGTTCCCGTGTGTCATCTGGATAACTTACGTGCTTATATTGTGTCAAATGTACCTCTTCCGAGTGTTAGGCGAACATTCATCAGTCGTGCGTCGATGCTTGTTTGTTCTCTCCGGAGCAGGCCATGGAGGCCTTCGGATGTTTCAAATCCGCCCCAGGTTCACGTGGTTTTTATGTGGCGTTGCGCAAGCAGTAGAATGTGTAGTCTGCACCTGCTTCAGGCAGGTTACATTGATCAGCAAGCCGAGTTTCACGGTACCGCAATATCGATGTGAATAATCACCAGCCCTATCGCAGGCATTGTAGGACATCGTTCGGATCACTCACGGTACAATGTGCACGGTAGTATGCCCGCGTTCCAGCACCCGATGCTGAGTGCGTGGCGCGCGTGCATACAATTGCATTGGTGGGCAATCGCACGCGAGGTGGTCATTGTGCTTCGGAAGTTAGCTTGAGGTACTCCGCCCGAAGCCATTGGCTCAATAGCATCACTCACAACGCAGTAGGTGGCTTGGAGTGAAGGTTGCGGGAACCCACACGGAGCCTTCGGCAATATAGCCTGACCCACAACGCAGTGGGTAGCAGATCCAACTAGGAACTTTTATAATAGAGAGCTATTCTCAATTGCTTTACGTACATAACACGTAGAATTTGAGGTGCTGGAACGATGCTTGCATAATTTGCGACTGTAGTCGGTTAAGCACTTGCGACCACGGCCAGACGCAAGTGGAATTTTGGCGGGTATGCAATCAACGTACCAATTGTTCAAGGACTGCTTAGCTTGAGGCGAGCAGTAGCAAACCACCAAGCACCCGGAGGTGCCTGCCCACCGGCAGAGACAATGCGTGACGCTCCTGCTCCACGCCAATCGACCTGTGGGCTTATACCCGTAGACTTGTTGTCTCACATGACTGTTTTACGGAAACAGGGCCACCGGCCACCTCCAAACCTCCGAAGCGAATGGACTAGGATACTGGCAGGGCGCCCATACCTGACATTAGAACGCTTCGTGTCATCGGCCAAAGACTTGGATTAATTGTGCTCCCGAAGGCAGTGGGTCTAGCACACGGACGGTTCACTGACTCATGCCATTTGTGTCCTGGATGTTAGCAGGGAAAGTGGCGAAACCAAAATCCCACCCAGCGGTCGCCACAAGGTGGCATCCAGGACACGAGACAATGGCGCAACTGTAGCAGCAGTGGGTAGGCGGTCTGTCTGGTTCCAGCCATTATCAGCCTCAGCGCACTATAGGCTCCTCGCTGGAGTCAGAATTAAACCCCGTGCACCATACACGCTGGAACCACATTTAGGGGTAAAGGAAGTGTGGAGACCCACGAGTTATTATGTCCTGAATGTACACTGATACAATCCAAATGCAGGCACTAAAATGTTGCCGAACAAATTGAGATTCAAAGGGACGTACTGCTTTACTTGTTTAATAGCGGACCATTTGCTGCAATGAACCTGCCATATTACAAGGCATTCAGTGCGAAACCACAACTATTGCAATGACCATGGCAATATTAAGGTGTGCGTTATCTGCGCGAAAAATCCCCACCGCATTCTTTTGTCCGAAATGCCAGCATCTGCTACCCAACCCTAAAAGTTAACAGGTTGATGGGAACAAAGATGTTATCTTCGTGGGTGCTGAGTTGTTGATTTATTCGGAATAACGCCGCATGATGAGGTTACCTCGCAGCGTTTCCAACTAGTTAGCATCCGGGGCACGTCAAGCTGACAAAGGTGTCCAACAGCTTTAACAGGGAGACGTCACTTCCGAAGATAGTACGCTCTGTAACATCTAGTAAGTATTCTTTTCATACGGTGCACTAAGCCACTACAGTTGAAGTACATGCCGCGGCACCATAACGGCAAAATAAGTGAACCTGCGACGTGTGGTAGGTTGATGCCGGTAAGAGACAGCCAGGCTAAAGCGGGTGTCTTCCAGCTTGGCAGCAGCGTCACTTGACAGCCAACGTGAAAATAATTGGGTGATTTAGGCTACGTTTGGCACCCCACAAGTCGTTTCGTCCCTGCCGGAAAATGTTCCCACCAAAATCGTCTTGTAGCACTTTGCTCTACATTTTCCAATTCGTTTCTCTACATACTATTGTGCCTGCAACCTACGGTGGCTTGAAAGGATGTTGTGGAAAATGCCATGTAGGAGACTGCAGTCGACTAACGGCGCAAAGTGGGAAAACCGTAGTACATGACGTGTACCCAAGTGGTCCACGCGCCCACGGAAGGTCGATGGGCGACTACGATTACAACGAAATGTAGGTTGCTTGCGCAGCACCAAATACAGCGGAAGACTAGTAATATTTAAACATATAACAGACATCCACGGAGTTTGCAATTACCAAGGACGTGTGACAGACGCATAGATGCAATGCCGACATTTCGTAGCGCTGCGCTAAATGTCTGTACATTGACTTATTCATCTATGTAGGTTAGTGTAGTAGCTACGATGGTCTGTACACCTGAGCGTTTAGGGTCCATCAGAAATGTGATTCTCCACTGGGCGTACACGAGCTTTGCCATCTTGCTGGGGAAGTTGAGACAAAGCGGTCAAGTCAGCTGCTATGGGGACACTGACAAACATGGTGCTTTTCTATCATGTGTTGGCGAGAGTAATGTTGTTCCTTTTCATGGTTGTGGCTTGTTTGTCAAGTTACACGGCAACTGCTGTCCAAACGTGCATTTAGGTCATCATGTAAAGAATCCGCTGCTATTCCCGTGCCGCATGTATTTCACTTTGTATCCAGCTACTGCCATCTCAGCTGTGATGCGAATCATTTTCAGTCACTTATGCGGTATAGCTATTTGAACGGAAGGCAATAATGGACCTTACTCACTGCGTTAGTTTACATGGTGTTTAAGGGCATAAAGTTTTGATCACCCACAGGCTATCTATCCCTAATAATAACTATGCAGTATTCTTAGTGTATCGCACTAACGGCTCGCAGCTAACGAGAATCCGTGAGTGGTAGAAGGCAATAACTGTAGGCAACTTCAGTTATTACGGAAATCAACTGCAACCAGGGTACAGTAAGTAAAAATCCAATGGGCACTGAATTCACACACACGATAGTTGCACGGCAAATTCGCCTGGGTCAGTTGCACGTATTGGGGACTAACACGCACTCAGTAACACGCAGACAATCCCAGCACTCAGACAATCCCACGTTACAGGCGTACTCTAATCATGCGCCGCAGTTCAAACCCGGTGAACATCTGGCCTGAATTCCAGAGATGACTTACATATGCGGCTATGGCTACGCGATGTTGTTCAGTGCCTATTTCTTAGCCCCCGCAATGCAACAGCTTGCCAATGCCAAATCACGTGCGTTGGTGGACACTTTCGGTACCATGCTGGGCTACTTGGGGCAGACCGTGGAGCCTGATTTAGACGGACACAGCCTTCAACGCTTCGCCCGTTGCCGCCTACTTATGTTGTCCTCTGTGTTCAATAAAACCGCTTAATCTACATTTAGTTCACTAGCTATTATCTTACTCAGCACTCACCGTAACTGCTGGTTTGCTGTTTGCTTCTATTCGTTTCCCGTATGCACCGGTGCTTACTATATACTTTATTGCCCCGTCATTGTTCTGACTCATCCGGATGTAACAACCCGCCATTGCCCGACTGTACGATCCGGGCTAATGTGGGAATTGTATTGTACTAGGCGGAGGCTGACCGAAGTAGTGCTGATCCGGGCACAGGGCTTTTACTCTTCTACGTAACTAGCAGACAGATCGAACACGGTGTTTCTGCGACAGTTTCGGAGACTGCGCGTGCTACCTCAGCCGTGATCACACAATCATAGGTTCAACCACAACCCTGAGCAAAGAATTTAAAATTTTGAGACGACTAAACGTTCCTTCACAAAACAAGGTGTATGGTACAAGATTTATACATAGATTAATCCCGGTATGCTTAGTTTAAATAGCATGCAGTTAGACACAGGA